AGGTTATTAATCGTCCACCTTCGCTTCCTCTCTTCAGCTCCTCCCCCTCTGATAAAAGACAACGCTCGGTTTAAGTGCACAACATCCAACATGAGACGCTTTATTTCACTTCTTCAAACACATCCATTCATGTTGCAAAATGCACGAAGAAGACACGGGAGACGTTTTAAACGCAGTCCATAAAAAACAACAAAAAAACAACATGTGGTCCTTTTCCTGAAATAAATAAAGTCTGAGTGGATTCATAAAGATGCAAAAATATACAGATAGTGTCTCAGTCTGTGTGGGGACAACATAAATAGATGCACAAATATTACAAACAGTTTCTGAGCCGTTTGGAAACACCTGAACAGGAAACAGGAAGTGCTTAACATTTCAGAACAAAAGCATCAACAGACGAGTCCAAACTTCACCTCACAGATAAAAGTTTAAAATATGAAACGCCACGACGTCTCTGGAGATCGGTTTCATTTCTTTGTGCAACATATTTAATACCAAAGGTGCAGGATACACAAATGCCTTTTTCTCTATTTCCGTAAAGGCGTTACGGACAAAAGCATAAATACAAAAGATTACAAAAAAAAAAAAATCCACATTCTGTTTTTTTCTTTTTTAACCCTTGTGCCTCAATTTAAGACAAATGTTCAAATAAAAAAGATATGATATGTCATTTTTGTGATTGGTCAACTGCTTAGAGATGTCCCGCCCCCTTAGCCTATCACTTACAATGTGTTGGAGCGCTAGCCAATAGGAGCGCAGTGCCATCACAATCACAACAATGCCCACAATGAATGCCCAACACGGCTGATACAAGTGTCCGTAGCACAAGGGCTCGTTCGGGTAAAACAAGTAAATAGATGTGATTTTATCCTGATTTAAATCACATGAAGAGGCGTCTGCAGGACTAATGCTGTAGTGTGGGTTTAGTTCAAGTGAATACATGTAAATTAATACTTCCTAACATTTATTTTACAGTCTTTTGGACGGAGCTGCCTCGGGTAATGCCCGCTGCGTCAGAAAACATTAGCTTTTATTCCGTGATGTGCAAACATTAAAACTCTTTAAAAGACGTGTGCATACGTGTTGCAGCCACACGAGGAAACAGGAACTGAAGCGACCCCCCTCCCCCCCTGACCCCTCCCCCCATGCAGAACTAGCCGAGGCACAAACCGGACGATAAACAACAAATACTAAATACTTTTTCATGCCCACAAAATACTCGTCAACAGCGGAGGAAATACAAAAATACTTTAAGGTTTGGAGCGTCTGTTACTGAGGCGGGACTCCACTTATATTTATCATTTCTTTAAACATTGGACCCCCGGGCACAGAGGGGTACAAGCCCCCCCAAGCCCACCATGTTTGTAGTCAATCTGTAGTCTTTTATAGTCAGTTTATAGTCAGTTTGTAGTCAGTTTGTCCTCCTTTTGCATCTCTCTCTAGGGTTTCTGCGTGTCTTTGTGTCTCTGAGAAGTCGTTCTTAGTGTCCTTGTAGTCTCTGTGTCTCCTTCTGTTATTTTGAGGCTCTTAATAGTGTTGTTGTTGTTTTTAGTCTTTTTCTGGTCTCTTTTAGTGTCTGTTGTTGTGTTGAATCCATTCCTAGTGGCTTTAGTCCTTGTGTTTGTATTCAGTGGTTTTGTAGCTTTTTAAATATCTTAGGAGTTTGTTTCAAGTCCTTTTTAGTGGTTTGAGCTCGTCCTGTGGTTGTGTTGAGTCTCTCTGTAGTGGTTTGAGTTCGTCCTGTGGTTGTGTTGAGTCTCTCTGTAGTGGTTTGAGTTCCTCCTGTGGTTGTGTTGAGTCTCTCTGTAGTGGTTTGAGTTCGTCCTGTGGTTGTGTTGAGTCTCTCTGCAGTGGTTTGAGTTCGTCCTGTGGTTGTGTTGAGTCTAGCTGCAGTGGTTTGAGTTCGTCCTGTGGTTGTGTTGAGTCTCTCTGCAGTGGTTTGAGTTTGTCCTGTGGTTGTGTTGAGTCTAGCTGCAGTGGTTTGAGTTCGTCCTGTGGTTGTGTTGAGTCTCTCTGCAGTGGTTTGAGTTCCTCCTGTGGTTGTGTTGAGTCTCTCTGTAGTGGTTTGAGTTCGTCCTGTGGTTGTGTTGAGTCTCTCTGTAGTGGTTTGAGTTCCTCCTGTGGTTGTGTTGAGTCTCTCTGTAGTGGTTTGAGTTCCTCCTGTGGTTGTGTTGAGTCTCTCTGCAGTGGTTTGAGTTCCTCCTGTGGTTGTGTTGAGTCTCTCTGTAGTGGTTTGAGTTCCTCCTGTGGTTGTGTTGAGTCTCTCTGCAGTGGTTTGAGTTCCTCCTGTGGTTGTGTTGAGTCTCTCTGTCGTGGTTGGAGTTCGTCCTGTGGTTGTGTTGAGTCTCTCTGTAGTGGTTTGAGTTCCTCCTGTGGTTGTGTTGAGTCTCTCTGTAGTGGTTTGAGTTCCTCCTGTGGTTGTGTTGAGTCTCTCTGCAGTGGTTTGAGTTCCTCCTGTGGTTGTGTTGAGTCTCTCTGTCGTGGTTGGAGTTCGTCCTGTGGTTGTGTTGAGTCTCTCTGTAGTGGTTTGAGTTCATCCTGTGGTTGTGTTGAGTCTCTCTGCAGTGGTTTGAGTTCGTCCTGTGGTTGTGTTGAGTCTCTCTGCAGTGGTTTGAGTTCGTCCTGTGGTTGTGTTGAGTCTCTCTGTAGTGGTTTGAGTTCGTCCTGTGGTTGTGTTGAGTCTCTCTGTAGTGGTTTGAGTTCGTCCTGTGGTTGTGTTGAGTCTCTCTGCAGTGGTTTGAGTTCGTCCTGTGGTTGTGTTGAGTCTAGCTGCAGTGGTTTGAGTTCGTCCTGTGGTTGTGTTGAGTCTCTCTGCAGTGGTTTGAGTTCGTCCTGTGGTTGTGTTGAGTCTCTCTGCAGTGGTTTGAGTTCGTCCTGTGGTTGTGTTGAGTCTAGCTGCAGTGGGTTGAGTTCGTCCTGTGGTTGTGTTGAGTCTCTCTGCAGTGGTTTGAGTTTGTCCTGTGGTTGTGTTGAGTCTAGCTGCAGTGGTTTGAGTTCGTCCTGTGGTTGTGTTGAGTCTCTCTGCAGTGGTTTGAGTTCGTCCTGTGGTTGTGTTGAGTCTAGCTGCAGTGGTTTGAGTTCGTCCTGTGGTTGTGTTGAGTCTCTCTGCAGTGGTTTGAGTTTGTCCTGTGGTTGTGTTGAGTCTAGCTGCAGTGGTTTGAGTTCCTCCTGTGGTTGTGTTGAGTCTCTCTGCAGTGGTTTGAGTTCCTCCTGTGGTTGTGTTGAGTCTCTCTGCAGTGGTTTGAGTTCGTCCTGTGGTTGTGTTGAGTCTCTCTGTAGTGGTTTGAGCTCCTCCTGTGGTTGTGTTGAGTCTCTCTGTAGTGGTTTGAGTTCCTCCTGTGGTTGTGTTGAGTCTCTCTGCAGTGGTTTGAGTTCCTCCTGTGGTTGTGTTGAGTCTCTCTGCAGTGGTTTGAGTTCCTCCTGTGGTTGTGTTGAGTCTCTCTGCAGTGGTTTGAGTTCGTCCTGTGGTTGTGTTGAGTCTCTCTGTAGTGGTTTGAGTTCGTCCTGTGGTTGTGTTGAGTCTCTCTGCAGTGGTTTGAGTTCGTCCTGTGGTTGTGTTGAGTCTCTCTGTAGTGGTTTGAGTTCCTCCTGTGGTTGTGTTGAGTCTCTCTGCAGTGGTTTGAGTTTGTCCTGTGGTTGTGTTGAGTCTCTCTGCAGTGGTTTGAGTTCCTACTGTGGTTGTGTTGAGTCTCTCTGTAGTGGTTTGAGCCCCTCCTGTGGTTGTGTTGAGTCTCTCTGCAGTGGTTTGAGTTCCTACTGTGGTTGTGTTGAGTCTCTCTGTAGTGGTTTGAGTTCCTCCTGTGGTTGTGTTGAGTCTCTCTGCAGTGGTTTTGAGTGGCGGTCTAATTGATTGCATGTGTTTCTGGTTATTTCTGAGTGTTTTCGTGTTCTTTTGTGATCATATTTAGCCTCTGCGCCGTCGTTTGATTGACTTTCCAACAGGAAATATGAAACCATAGCTCCGTTCAATAACCCCTCCATTAAAACCACATTTAAACAGATCGCAGAAATCAAACACTGAGACGCACACAGACTGCACATTCACTTCAAGTAGAGTCCATGCCACAGATCCAGAGTGAGATATTTAAATAAAGAAGGAGTGAAACATTTTAGCGGTATCTTAACGTGTTCGGTAAGTCCACCTTCAGCGTTTGGTCCGTGTGCAAAGTGTCAGAAGGAGCTGGGTTCTCGTTGCATTGATTATTCTGTAACAGTCGAAGCCGTGGGTCTCTGAGTCGGAGAGTTGAACCAGCAACTTTATTCAGTTTACAATCTGCGGAGCGCTGAGGGGGGGGGGGGGGGGGGTGTGAAATAGAGAAAGAAACACAAAGAGAGGTTTAACTGACGTTTCAATGGCAGGCAGCGACACAACATGTAAGCGTATAATAACGTCTTTGCATTTAAATTTGTAATAACGAATTTCACATTTTTCTCAGAATTATATTTCTTCCAATTTTTTTTACTTCTTCTCAAAATCTTTCTTTTTCCCCAAATTTTACTTTTTCAGAATTTCATGTTTTTCTCATGATTTAAATTTGTTCTTCTCACAATTTCATTTTCCTCAACATTAAAATGTTTTCTCATAATTTCACTTTTTTTTCGTCATATTTTAACTTTTTTCTCATAATTTCACGTTTTTTTCATATTTTAACTTTTTTCTCAAAATGTAACTTTTTGCTCAAAATTAAAATGTTTTCTCAAAATGTAACTTTTTTTTCATGTTTTAACTTTTTTCTCATATTTTCCCTTTCCCCTCAGAATCTGGAGGTGCGTTCAGGCTCCCCAACAGAAACCCATCCTCCCAGCGTCTCTCCTGTAACTCACCGGCCTCATAGCGAGCTGCTCAGAATCTCCGACACCTGAGCGTTCGTCTGCTCGTCAGAATCCACTTCCTGTGCTCCTCCCTCCTCCTCCTCCCCCCCCCTCCACCACCACAGACACCCCCACTGCCTCCCCCCTCTCCCCCCCCACAAAGATGCGTCTAACATGGGGCCTTCCTCCCCCCTGTCCTCCCCCCCGCTGCCTCCCCCTCCGGCTCTCCAGAACGCAGGAGGCGTGGCTAACGAAGGTGGGGGAGTCGATGGAGGGGGGGAGATCCGTCTGCTGGGTGTACACCCCCTCGGAGAGAGACCCCCCCTCTCCCCCCTCCTCCCCCCGGAGCCACCGAGGGGTGAAGTACGCTCCTCCCCCCCCCCGCTGACTGCGAGAGAGGAGCTTTCGTTTGGAGGGGGGGTTACAGAGAGGCCTCAGGGGGGGAGAGAGGGGAGAGAGGGAGAGGTCCTCCAGGGGCAGGAGGGGGGAGAGAGGCCTCAGGTTGGGAGAGAGGGGGGAGAGGTCCTCCAGGGGCAGTAGGGGGGAGAGAGGGAAGTCTTTGGATGGAGAGGGGGAGAGAGGGAAGAAGGTGGAGGAGAGGGGGAGGTCTGAGGGGGGGCAGACGCTGTACCTGAGGGGGAGAAAAGGGAGGTTTCAAAGGTGCATAATAGATCCTCTTTTTTTTACTGTGATATCCTGTTTCCATAGTTACTTCATCCCTTCATCCCTTCATCACTTCATCCCTTCATCCCTTCATCCCTTCATCACTTCATCCCTTCATCCTTCATCCTTCATCCCTTCATCCCTTCATCCCTTCATCCCTTCATCCCTTCATCACTTCATCCCTTCATCCCTTCATCCCTTCATCACTTCATCCCTTCATCACTTCATCCCTTCATCCCTTCATCCCTTCATCACTTCATCCCTTCATCCCTTCATCACTTCATCCCTTCATCACTTCATCCCTTCATCCCTTCATCACTTCATCCCTTCATCCCTTCATCCTTCCATGGTGCTGTATCATTGATCAATAAAGTGCTTCTTATCTTATCTAAACAAAGTGATGACTAAGTGTTACCTGAGCTCGTGGGTCTGCAGCACGTCGGGGGCGCTGCCGCCCAGCGAGTGCAGTGCCTGCTGGGAGAGGTGTTGGGGGGGGGAGTAGAGCAGGTCAAGGTCTCGGGGGCTCAGAGCGTCGCTGGAGTCGTAGTCGCTGTCTGTGGGGAGGAAGACCTCCGAGGACCCGTCCTCATCGGAGCCCAGCAGGGAGTCTGAGGGTTAAAAAAAAAAAACTCACGTTAAAAAAAATAAAATAACGTTTTTTCTAAAAATGTCATGTTTTCCTCAAAATGTCTAATTCTTCTATAAATGTCACTTTTTTTCTCACCATTTAATAAAAAAATGTATTTCAAGTTTTTTCAAAAAATGTCAAGTTTGTTCTGAAAACTTTTTTTTCTAAATTTCACATTTTTTTCTTAATTGTTTTAATTTGATAATAATTCCCCAAAAAAAATGTCCACAACAAATTTCACTTTTTTCTCAAAAGGCGCATTCACACTTTACGTTTCCCACTTTAGTTCATGTGAACTCTCTAGTTCTCATGAACTAAGTTCAGATCGCGTTCACACCGGAATAAGTCCCTGAGGGAGGATTAGGCAAATGAAGCCGCTGACGTCACTTCTTCGTCTTCTGCTTTGGGTTTACTGGCAGGCCGCAAACCACTTCACGGCGTATACTGCCACCCGGAGTCCCCGGCCGGAAGTCCCCGGAGTTGGGGACTGGCTTCAGTAGAAGCTGCTGGGAGTCCCAGCAGCTTCTACTGAAGCCTTCCGAGTCAATCGCCAGAACGCCGACACCTCCTCATCTCCACCGCTCCCATGTTTTATTTTGTGTTGCCATAAGTTAGTCTCTCTGCGTTTCTGCGCTGGGCTAATGCTAATGCTAATAATGCTAATCCGAGGATAATAAAATGGCGGCTTCACAAAACTTTTTGGGAGTTTTACGGGGCGTGGTTTGCAATCCTTCCAGCCAATCAGAAATAGGAACCTTTTTCTCCAGGGACGGAAAAGGGGGTGAAAAGGTTCTGATGAACTAATTTGAGTTCCGGCTCTTTTTGGTGTGAACGCGAGATTTCGGAACTATATCGGAACTAAAGTGGGAAAAGTACTACGGTGTGAACGCGGCTAAAGTGTCACGTTTTTCTCAGAATGTCCTTCAGAGGTCAATAAAGACATTGAAGCTCAACATGTCTCCTCACCGCTGGGGGGCTTCCTGTGCCGGGGCTCTGGCGAGGGGGAGGGGGTCGGCAAGAAGTCGTTGTTGGAGGAGGTGGAGTCGGTCTTCTGCTCGCTGTCGGGGGGGGGCGTCTGCGTTAACGAGCGCTGAGACGGGAACGCCGCCGCGGGGCTGCCGGTAACGAGCGAACTGAAGAGCGTCCGTTATCCAGCGCAGGTCACGACGCACCTCGTCCAGCTGCTGCAGGGTCAAACAACATTTCACTGTTTGGTTCAATTTACTTTGGGGTTTCATTCTTTGTATTTTCATTATTTGTACATTATTACAGTGTGTGTGCTGTGTAGTGTGTGTGTGTTACAGTGTGTGTGTGTTACAGTGTGTGTTACAGTGTGTGTGTGTGTTACAGTGTGTGTTACACTGTGTGTGTGTTACAGTGTGTGTGTGTTACAGTGT